TCTTATGGGCCTACCGCACCACACCCCACTCAACGACGGGCGAAACCCCTTTTCGACTAACATACGACACCGAGGTCGTCATCCCCGTGGAAATCAGGGAACCCTCCAGGCGAACAGAGATGCCTCTCGATGAGGAAATGAACGATGAAGCCCTTAGGGACGAGCTCGATCTGGTCGAGGAAATTCGATCGGGGGAAGCCCTGCGCGAGGCCACTTTGAAACAACGAGTAGCCCTACGTCAGGACCACAAAGTCGTCAGACGCGAGTTCCAGATCGGTAGCCTAGTCTTGCGAAGGAACCAGAAAGATTCGCGCGAAGGGAAATTGGCCACAAACTGGGAGGGACCCTACCGCGTCCAAGGCGCTACGGGTACCGGAGCATATTACCTTGAGCAGCTAGACGGAGAACCACTACCACGACCCTGGAATGCTGCTAAGCTTAAACAATACTATAGCTAAAGCCCTCAACCACTGTGGACTTTTGTCGTCGAACATCCATCCTTAGCCAACAAAGGGGAAAGGTCTCAACCACGTAGGCGAGTCGAGGTACGGACCTGACCTACCAACCATCGAGTGACGTATCGTCGTTCACCCAACAAGCTGAACGACTATACCCGACAGGGACACCTCGATCAAGCTCCACTGTTGAAGTACCCGCAAGGCAGGACACCTAGCTTGCGATGGGCAGTTCACGCCGTGGGCATAGGACCCCGAACTGGGTCATGCGCCCGACACGCGGACCTCACTCCGTGCATTCAACGCATTTCGAAGTGTGTCGAACCATCAGAAGGGTCGAAAGGATATCTCCACTCGAGAATAAAACTTCATCAAATATCCATCACGAAAGTGCCAGTCGAACATTAGCCTAGAGACGAGCAGGTTAAAGCAAAATAAAAAAAACATGCACAAAACAGGTTAATAATGAACCGGCCAAGAAGGTCGACGATGTTCAAGGTTACAAGCCATGGCACAACGGCCAAAAGAAATCAAGAATTATAACGGGCACGCAGGCCCCAAAAACATAGAAATACACGGGCACGTAGGCCCAAACATCAACTTGATACTAAACATCCCCAAGACTACCGGCATCTACTCCAGGAGACTCGGGAGGGGGCACAACCTGACCATCAATAATCTGGGACAGGAACCCGACTCCCTCGGTGTTCATGCCCGGATTTAGGACGGAGAGCTGGCTGACCGCGACCTCAAACCCATCGGCCAGGGCACCGACACAGTCTAACTCGAGAAGGTGGATACGTGCAACCAAATCTGAATGGGTTTGTAAAGAGGCTATCTCCTCTGGCTCGTCGTCGACAGGAAATATAACAGCTTTTAGCTCCTCGATTTCCTTGGACAATCGTTCGTTGTTTCTCTCCAACCGTTCCTTGTCAAGTTGGAGGCAATCCCTCTCCTCGGCAGCCTTCACAGTCTTTTCCTTCTCCCCCGATAGCAGGTTGGCCTGCTCACGAAACATCTCCTTGGACCGCTCGAGGGTCGCCTTTAACTTACGAGATTTGGCAGCGAAAGCAGCCTTCTCTGATTCCAACTCCCTAACACGGTCTGAGGAGTCTGATCCTTCCCCGGCAAGGACCACAACCATCTCGGCCATCTTCACCACCCCGACCATGCTGGCGACAAGGTGCTTCCTCCGGCCTTCTTTGTCAAGCCGTTTAATAGTCTTGGCCTCGTTATCACTCACTGTCAGAGGAAACCTCTCGAAGAAATCCTTTTCTGCAAAACAGGGCGGTAGGCCGAAGGCCCGGGCAGCGACGGGCTCGTCACCAGCCTCCGACCTACTCTCAGTCCAATTCCTCTTCCTGGTAACCAGCTCAGTGGGTTACTCGGCATCGGGAGAGCCCGAGGACCCACTAGATGCATCTCCGCCCGAACTGGCTGGCGGGCCCATCCTTGTGGCTTGCGGTGCCCTCACCAGCCTCTTATTTATCTTCTTGTATTGGGTTAGCTTCAATAATCTCTCTCATCGTTCAGCCATGTGACCTGCAAAAAGGAGTGAAACCGGGTTAGCTACAAGCGAGCAAAAACAATAAACATGGAATAAAACAATAAGAGCAGAAGCGAGAAACCTAGCAGATCTACGGTCTGCCCGTAGGATTGGCACTCGACGAGCGCCTTGGTGTTGATGGGACGCGCCTCGAACGTCGGGTACCCGTCCTCATCAAGAATGCCACCCCCTTCCCTCGTGACCCACCGGGCGGGGAAGAAGCTATCAACAAACTTGCAAAGGACAACATATGCCTCCTCATCCTCGACACTCATGCTCCCCGCGGGAGTATAATAGTACCCGGTGCCATGATCGTAATGACCCGAGCACCAATGGATCGGAAACTTGGAAATGCGCCCGACTGCAGGACTACCCTCAACATCCACGAGGGGCTCCCCGTCCCCGTCGACCACCACAGTTTCCGATTCAAATAAAGAGTCTAGGGCAGTTTGGGTGACCGACTGCAGCACATACCATTTATCTTTGAAATCCCTTACCAAGTCCATATACATCCTGAACAACCTCTTCGACTGTTTCAGGGATACCCAGCTGTGCTTGCCTCCTCGAGACTGACGTTGCAGATGAAAGACCCTGAAGAAAAGGGGAATCGTCGCCCCAATTCTCAAGAAATGGCAGGTCAGCTCGAACGCCCGAAGGAAGGCGATCGCGTTGGGGTGAAGCTGCGAAGGGGCCAAGTTCAGATGGCTAAACACCCCGACTTGAAAGTCACTAAAGGGTAGCTTAAGACCGAGATCTTTGAACACGATCTCGTACATATGGAATGCGTACTCCGTAAACTCCGAGCAAATACGGGCGTCGATCGTCGGCTTCATTATTATAAAATTCTTTTGAAAACCTGGCTGAGTACTGCCATGCTCGACGACAGTATAAGCACGCCGACTACGACGACAGTATGCTGAAGCAATCCCCCGGGGCTCGGCGCCCACCCAGTCCAACGTAGGGTCGTCGATGGTGTCGACTAATGTAACATTCTCTTCTGTACTTGTTTCCTCGACGTCATTATGCCCCGAGGATTCCAGATTATCGGTCATTTACCTGCAAAGCACAGGAAACCGGTGAATTCGGCAGCAAATCCGCGTGCTCGCCATAGAGCCGGGAGGGAGTACACAACGATTCAGATTAAAAAGCCGAACACGGACACCCCGCCTCCGGTCATGCATCGGGGACAACACGAGCGTAGCATGAGCGCCCCGGGCGAATCATTAATCACCCGAGCAAGTTCTTGACTTCGCCCACCCGACACTAGGATACCGCGAGGAGACTACCCTACGCACTTCCTAAAAGGATGAACATCCCGGCCAGATCATGAATATGCCGATCAAACGCATGAATATCACGGGAAATATCATGAGCTATACGCCTAAAGCTATGAATATCACGGGAAATATCACGAATTATGTGCCTAAAATATGAATACCACGGGAAATATCATGAATTAGGTCCCTAAACTATGAATATCTCGGGCACAGTCATGAATCTACCGGACATTACTTCCAAATATGGATTTCTAGTATAAAAAATAGCAGCAAAACTACCTACAACGCAGAAAAACAGCAGGAAGGGACACTTACTTGGAAGAAAAGGGGTACGAAGGACGACGGTGAAAGTAATCAACGACGAATAGTGCAGCGGTCTCACAATGTTACGGGAAACGACAGCAGCGGAAACAGAGAAGGAGGGAGGAGCGTGAAGAGGAAAAACAAATTATGGGCCCAAGGGTCCTATTTATAGGGATGACGTGGAATGTGAAACGTTGCACCGGGGAGACACGAACTTCCCCTGTCCTCGACACCTACTCCTCTAGGAAATGATGACCCTATTTGCTAGGATGGCGTTACAATTCCCAAGGACTGCGCTACGTATCCGACGGACGCAGCCCGCGTATCCCCGCGAGAAATTCCTCGAGCATGCTTCGAAAGACAAAACTCTGGTCTGGGCATCAGGTCACCATGGTAAAAGCAAGCTGAGATCAAGTCATAACTCCTGCGCCAGGAGCAACGACTTGGGAGGCTCCTGTTCTAGACTGGGCCCACCTTGGCCCAAAGTGCAAATAAAGGCCTAGACTAAGCAGCTCCTCGGGAAATGCTCACAACCAGACCATCACTGAACATGCCCGACCACAGACTACATCTGCAACGCCCGTTGCCCTCGACGAGCAGCCTCCCGACCAGGGGACTTCGAGTTCGAGTCCAGCTCGAGCGCCCTCCCCGTAGAGCAGATTCTGTCCACTATAACCGTTATGGAATCCTCAAAGCTCCGGAAAGACCGCGTCTTCGTCCTTCCTCATTCTTCGCAGAGCACCACCCAGGAAGGGGACCACGTGCGGGTCCCCACTACACACGTAGAACCTGGAAGTTCCTTTATTGGGCCAGTTCTGGTCAGCCCAATGAGGGGACCTTGGCCCAACGTTGGGGGCTATAAATACCCTCTGTTCCAAGAGGGTCAGGTATTCATCTATCACACGCCTATATACTTTTTGCCTGCCATTCCGTCTCTCATTTTAGCATCGGAGTGTCTTGCAGGTACCCCCCATCTCACTCAAAACCAGTTCGAGCCAGCTGTGACGGTCCAAGTCTGATCCGGTAAGATCAGATGCCATCAACTACATCACAACTATTCATATTTATTATTTTAAAAATGATTAAAATAAAAATAAAATATGTTTATATCATAAATACATATCAATTAAATTCACAAAAAAAATTGGCTAAATAAATTCATAAAAATTTAAAAAATAGTTTATTAAAAACGAAAATAAATGATGTTCAAATAAATCAATTAAAAAAAACAATATTAAAAATAAAACTTTTTGTAATAAAAGCCAGAGAAATACGAGCCTGTTAAATTGGGGTTATTTTAGGCGCCTGAGTTGGAACGAAAGTGGGATTAGGGTTTTTTTTTTTTTTTTTTTTGTGTGTTACAAATTACAAATTACAAACAGAAAGAACAAGAGAGAGCGTTGAATTTGGGAATCAAAGATGAGTGGCGAAGACGATTCAATCGAGCAAGCTGTAACTTCGCGTCGGGAAAGACTCCTAGCTCTCAGAACCGCTCAAGAATTGTTACTTTCTTCTAATCAAGAGGAAGAACCTCAACCACCACCTACTGCTTCCGAAGATGAACAAGAGTATGTTTTTGCGTTTTTTTCTTCGGATTTTCAGTAATGTGATATATATAAATGGTTTACTTGTTTTTTTGAATTGAATTGAATTATTGTTGTTGTTGTAGAGAGGAAAAACTGAGCATGAAGTTTCGTAATTATGTTCCTCATGATAAAGATCTTCAGGAAGGGAAGCTTGCACCTGCGGTGCTTCCGAAGTTTGAAGATCCCGTTTCTGTTCCTGAGCCTGAACCTCAACCCACAGAGGTTTGTTAGGGTTTGGCTCTAAATGATAGTTACAGCTTCACAAGTGATTATGCTAGTAGATAAGCTAAAATAAGTCCATGGTTTGAATTGCCTTTAACGTTTTAACTTCTATTTATTAGGATCCGTTTCTGAATATTGCTCCCAAAAAGCCCAACTGGGACCTGCGCAGAGATGTCCAGAAGAAGCTTGATAAGCTTGAAAAGAGAACTCAGAAGGCTCTCTATCAACTCATGTGTAAGTCTATGTTATCACTTATCACTCTCTTTTTCATGCATTCAAGATAAACTTTCTCATTTTTTACTATTTATCTTTCATTCTTTGATACATTTGCAATAAATGGTCGTTGAGTTTCTCATTTTTTACTATTTATCTTTCAAATTTGATACATTACTAATGGGTATTTTTAATTGGTGGAAAGAAAGAAACTAGGAGGGGTAGCAATACGGTAGCTATTTTGCTAGATAGAGTAACTCAACCACCCGGGTTTTCGGTAGTTAAGAATTCAAGCATTGAATGTAATGAACGGATCAAAACAGTTGGAATTTGGATCAAGATTAGGTCTTGAATCTGATTTACTTGAGTCAAAACGAGATCTACCATTTCAGATTCTCTGATTTCAGCCAATGCTTGAAATATTGATTACTAAATGCCCGTGTTTCTCCTGTGTTCTAGTCTATTTCAAAATCTGTTGGAGAAATTTTAAATGTATATTATACTCTCCAATTGATTTCTGAATATTTATTTACTCTTTTGAGTCCTCGTCACTGTCATTCCATTTTTATCTTTTTATTTATTTATGATGGTCCATAAAACAGAGTTAGTACAAAATAATGTCATGGTTAATGATGACATTTTTTTTATTTATAAAATGCTGAGTGATCAAAACAGTAGTTTGAAGTTGAGAGTTTGAGACTAAATAAAATGCATTTTCCCTGTAACAAATTATATTTAATCAGTATTTCTGTAATTAGTGACTTTCAGATTCCGGGTAATTAATTAGTATTGTTGGCAATTTCAAATCTCACATGTTCTTTTATTTTCCCTGGCTATAGCCATATGTCTATGTAGATTCTTTTTTTCTATAAATTCTAGCTAGTAAGACAAGACAAATTTTCTTTCTACTAGTTTTTTTTCTTGTCAGTATCCAAATAGTTTGACTTAGAATTGGTTAATACTACACATTTGTTTGAATATCTCGCGTTCCATGAATATGGACTGTGGAGACGTAACAATGGATTGGTGATTTTTCAACAGTGGAACAGGAGAAGCAAAATCAGTTGGCCGAAGGAGATGATAATGATACAAACGGCGTCAAAGATTAGGTTGTGATGTTTCAGCAGCAAAGATGTATTGTTGCTGTATTTTGAGAATCCTTATCCCATTCAGGTTGCTAACATGAATTAGAGTCAGATACATGTTCTTGCAAATTCTCAGCGAACGAACATTGCATCATTCACTTCTCTTTTATTGGCCAAGCATGGATGTGTAAGAACTGTTTTAGAGGTCAAACATTTAGGCATTCCTGAAGCCGGTATTTAAATTTTATCATGTATAACATCATTCAAGTTTCAAGTATCGGATTTGTAAAGATTTAACTTGTTTGTTTTGGAAGTTTGGCAAAGTGCTTGAACTAGAAACATACTATTACTTGATTAACTAAGGGGTTAGCATCACTGCATATACGGGGAGTGAATCCAATGGTAAGCATTGGGACGAGCATAAATCTCGACATTTTAGTCAAACTTTTTATGTTTATTTAGTTGATAAAAATGATACCTAAAAATAAACAATTAGTATATACGATCTCTGTTTCTAATTATTAGAACTTGTTTTTTACCTGTCCCTTTTATTAATTGTTTTTTTACGCATATATTTTTAATTATATTATATATTTTTCTACAATCAGATTAAATATTCTTACACAAACATTAAATAATTCTCTTTTTTAACCATAAATTTATCAAATTAAACAAATAATCAACAAAATTAATGCTCCAACCAATTTTCTTATTTTATATGCAATTTTACTCTAGGTGATCTTATATTTAGAGATGGAGGTGATAAAACTTTGATTTTTTATATCAATTTATAGATCTTATAATTAGAGATGGAAGTTGATAAAACTGATTTTTTATATCAGTTTCGAGTTAAAAAAAGGATAGAGTAGGAAAATTGAAAGATTTTGGTTGGAAGAATTTAGAAGAGTTTGTTTTTGGTTATAACAACTTTTCTAATTTAATTTTAATTTTAATTTTTTTAAATTTGTATTAGAGAGGGAGGATTTTGGAGAGGATACATAAAATTTTCAAATATATTATAATATTTTAAAAATTGAAAATATAATAATAATTTACAAGTTAACTAAAAATGGTTTGATAAAAATAGTGAATTTTTTTTTACAATAACCATGTATTAAAATAATATTTTGCAAATAATCTGATTTCGGAAAAAATTATGCAAATAACCATGTTTCAGATGACTCTCCAAAGGAGGAGCCATTTGAATTGGCGCATGCACCCACACTTTTGCCCTAGGCGCCATCTCACTTGGCGCCTCCCTTGGCTTTTAGCCAAGTGAGATGGCGCATGCTCCTTAAAAGTGAGAGGAGGCGCCATCTCACTTGGCTCCTAGGGCAAAACTAGGGCAAAATGTTGTTTTATAAATAATTCGTCCGTTTGTTCGAAATTTCGCACACTTTCTCGCACTGTATTTTTATTTTTTACTCTGTTATTTGCGTCATGACGTCGCCCATGATTTTTAGCAGAGATGGTTACGTTATCTTCTCCGCCACGAAACCTGCGATGAAAATGAAATTTTGGCACATTCACTCCATGGAGCGTCTGAAGCGGGAGTTGATGCGATGGCTAGATGGAGATATTGCAGAGGGGGGAAAATTCGAAGGATCCAGCGAAAACGAACAACAACCTCACATGTGACAGGAAGATCTAATGTATGGTTGGAGGAAGTCAAAACAGACAGCGATGTAATGTTGATGATGCATGGGTCAGATGAAATTGTGTTAACAGTTGTAATTTCGTAGACGGAATATCGTTAATTTTTCTTGTACGCGTTTTATTAATTGTAGCAAAATCTATTAACGGAAAACCCTAATGTTTACAACACAATTAAGGAAAGATTTTATGTATTACAATTTTTATGTGGTAGAGGCAGACGCCCGATTCAGACAATTTTTGCGATTGTGTCCGACCTAACGACATAAACCACACTTTCTTTCCAACTTGTCAAGATTGTCCATTTCTGTTGTGATGCACTTACTTTTGGGATGACCCTTCTTGTTCCTTCGCATTTGGTCATTGTGCCACACTATTTCACTGTCGTATGCAGGCCAATAATCTGGTTTTGCTACCAAAGGAAAGTTGTTGTTGTAAACGTTGAGCAACGTTTCAGATTTGTAAATGTTTGACAGAAGTTGCAGCACGTCTTGATGGGTATGAGCACAAGCGGCAATGACATGAGAGCAAGGCATACAAAATGCTTGAAACCTGCCACAATCGCACCAACGAGAAGGTAGCATGACCCTATATTCTTGTCTTGGCAGGCCTTCGTTGTGGTCGATTGTCTCTTTCACTATGAAGTTGTGGCTGTGTCGGTCAAACCGTATAACCATATGAGTGTTGGCTTTAGCACTTTCAGCCTTAATGTATTTTATGCAGCTTTCACTCCATAGTTGTCCAAATTGCAACACCGCATTCCACATTTCACCTCTTTTGGCAAATAACGCAACCATCCTAAAATACGTAGATTTTACCAAAGCAGTGATCGGGAGGTTTCATATGCCTTTGAATACCCCATTCATTGATTCAATAAGATTCGTTGTCATATGCCCCCATCTTTGGCCATTTTCGTATGACCGAGTCCATTTTCCCACCGGAATATTGTCGATCCACCTACCGGCTTCCGGATTTGACAAATGGATCTCGTTGCGGTAATATTTGAATGTGGGTTGTGTCAATGCATATCCCGCATTCATAACCGCTTTCCTTAATGTTTTGTCCTTGATCTCCCTCATGAAATTCTGGACGATATTCCTAACGCAATAGACATGCGTATAAGGAGGGTCATGCCAACTGTTTGCAGGATTATTGTAGGCACTTTCAATGGAGGCATGTCTGTCCGAGATCAAACAGAGATCTGGTTGAGGAGCCACGTGTGTCCGCAGATTTTTCAGAAAAAAGCTCCAAGCACCACCTGTCTCCCCCTCGACAAGGGAAAAGGCAATGGGGAAAATGTTGTTGTTGCCATCTTGTGCAACTGCCATCAGTAGCGTGCCTTTGTACTTCCCATACAACCAATTCCCATCAATTTGTATAATTGGTTTGCATGATGCAAACTCTGTGATGCATGGTTGAAAAGCCCAAAACACTCGACTGAATATTCCGTTGCCGTTTAGTAGACTACCATCTTGGGCGTATGCTGGCACTATTTCCAGAACGTAAACACTACCCGGAGAATACGTCTTGAGTGCATTCAGGTAGCGGGGAAGTTCTTGGTATGACTCCTCCCAGTTTCCGTACACCCTTTCAATCGCCTTAGTCTTTGCTAACCACGCCTTACGGTAAGACGAAGTGTAGTTAAAAACCGTGGTGATGTGGGAGATGATTGTTTTCACCTTCAAAGATGGGTCGTTGCTGACCAGGGGTAGGATTTCTTGACAGATGAGACCGTAGTTCAGTTTTCGGTGGTCCTGTGATTGAGTGGAACTTACACAAGTGTGGGTAGTCATGGAACCTATGACCCAACAATCACCTCTTAATATGTATGATGCGGTCAGCTTGAACATACAATCAGGGTGGACACACTTGATCTTGTACCTTTTCGGGTTGACACGGTCCACCTTAAAATCAACCGAGTTGAGCATGTGGAATTTTTTAATGGCTCTGATGCATTCCTCTCTGTTACGAAACTTGTCCTTCTCTTTTAAATTTCCATCCGACTGCATATACAGATTGAAAAATAAGTCAGTAGAAGGTTCATCTTCGCCCATGTTGAAGTTTGTCATGTGCGGAGGTGGTGTGTAGATTTCGTTTGCAGGAATATTAGGTATGCCCTCATCGTCGGAATCATCATTCACCATTTCATCAAACTCTAACTCGTCATCTTCTTCTTCTTCATCAACTGCATCTACCTCAGCTTGTTCATTCTCCAAAGGATCAACCTCTTGTGTCACCTGAGGCTCTCGCAGCATAACGTACAACTCAATAGAGTCGTACCCAGAATACACATGGCTGGAAAACATATTCTGGAGATCCTCGTCATCTTGAACTTCAACCTTATAAAAAATTACTTGGTTGTTTCCAAAAAAACTGGATTCTGATAAAATATCTGGGTCACCGGGCCTTGTCCAAGTTTGGCCTCCAATCGTTTTTTGAAGTACGAGAAATTGGCTTTCCCGTTTAAGAGAAATCGGATGTTGTCTGTGTCTCTAAACAAAAACCCAGCGGTGGGACAATTGTATGTCTCACCGTTGAAATGTGCTTTGACGATAAATTGTGGTGCAGAGGCCATTGCGCAGGATTGTTTGAAGGTTTGAAGGTTGGAATGTTTGAATTTTATGAGTTATTCGAAGGTTGGAATGTTTGAAGTTTATTGATTGTATGAAGGTTTGAATGTTGTAAGGTTTGAAGGTTGGAATGTTTGAACTTTATGAGTTATTCGAAGGTTTGTATGTTTGATTGTTTGAAGGTTTGAAGGTTTGATTGTAAGAACGTTTGAAGGTTGGAAGATTTGACAGATTAAGTGAATCAATGTTATGATAAACGTAAGACTAAAAATTTCAATTAAGTAAGGATGTAACCCCCAAGGCTGCCAATAGTATTACATGCATGGCATCCCAAAGGCTGTCACGTAGCCTGAGCCTAGCCTGCAATAAAGGACACCTCTTATTCGCCAATTGGGATGGCAACACCATTCATTTTTGTACTCTTTCGCCAAGTCCAATGGCGCCTCCCTTACTGTCCAATTGTGATACATGCATGCAGATATGTAACCCCCTAGGCTGCCACCTAGCCCGCGCCTACTCTGCACCTATACTGTATGTTGTAAGTCTCCTCCCATCACCTCCAATAGGGTTACATGCATTCAGGCATGACATCCCAAAGGCTGTCACGTAGCCCGAGCCTAGCCTACAACCAAGGACACCTCTTATTCGCCAATTGGGGTGGCGACACCTTTCATTTTTGTACTCTTTTGCCAAGTCCAATGGCGCCTCCCTTACTGTCCAATCCTGATACATGCATGCAGATATGTAACCCCCTAGGCTTCCACCTAGCCTGCGCCTACTCTGCACCTATACTGTATATTG